TTTTTTTCTTTTACTGTTTGCATTTTGCTTTAGTAGCTATGATATAATCTGCTTTGTGATAATTAGAAGAGTGATATATAAGTTTTAAAAATAATATACAGTAACTCTTATTTTTAAAAACAAAACAAAGCAAAGCAAAAAAAATGAAACAAAACCCCTCTCCTCTAAGTGAGATTAAATTTGTGACTCATTAGCAATTCAGGGGGAAAAAATTACCACCCTTCTCTATGTCATTATCTTTTTAAACGTCTATGGAATTGCTAGGAGAAAAAAGCCCGAAGCATAAATTAGAATGTCTTATTAAAACTAATGATGGTATATCCACTTTTGCAATTCCAGGGTAAATATTGAAACAGGTTTCCAGTTATAAATTGCCACCACCAAGAAAAATACTCCTCCCCTTTTAAGATACAATTCAATCAGCCAAGCAGAATATTGCAAGGCATGAAGCAACACAAGGCAAATGTAACGTAGCTTTCTCCATCGTTTTAAGGTGTGGATGAGTCATGAGGATTTAAAAGAGTGCCAAATAGAATTTAAATTTGCCAAATATATCATTCTTTTAGTAAAAAATACTTGGTAATTTCAGAGAACTTCATAATTCACGCTTCGTTCAATAAGACTAATTCTTGGAAATATATACAGTATATTACATTATGACTCTCTCATTTTATCTCCTTGGTTTTATTTGTTTTAGATGATCAAATGTGAGCTGATAGTTTGATCAATTTCGGACTCTGGAATTAGAAAAAACAGAAACACAGTTCTTTTCATTACTGTTTGACAATCAGACATTTAAAACCACAAGGCCCTTAAAAGCTTGTGTAACTGGTGAGGGGTGTGCTTATCCTCAAGCATCACCATAATGAAGTAGATTTTATAGGAAGTTATAAAATTTATCAAGACACTGAGAAATTTAAGGAAAGATAATCAGTAAATCAATTTCATTGTAATTAACCTTGACTTTCTTTTTGGATAATTTCCAAGAATTGTGCACATATTAGAAACTACTTTTTGTTTTTAACTATTTTTTTATGGAGTATTGTGAGCTGCCTAGAATCATCTATGAGATAAGCGGCCATATAAATCCAATCAATCAATCAATCAATCTATTAACAGCTAAAAGTCTAGTGCAGGAGTAGGCAACCTTGGCTCTTTTATGACTCATGGACTTCAACTCCCAGAATTCCTGAGCCAGCCATGCTGGCTCAAGAATTCTAGGAGTTGAAATCCACGAGTCATAAAAGAACCAAGGTTGACTACCCCTGGTCTAGTGTAGCATGAATCCTCTATTTTTTTGTATTTATTGAAAAAAATCCTTGAATCCTAGGAAACAGGCTACATACGTATAGTATATGTATACACACACACACATACATTCATGTTTGAGGAAAACACAATTCTGCAGACCATCTGTGTACATGGAGGGATGTATGTATGTACAAACATATATATATATATATATATATATATAGATGCTTATTGGTGTATCTTTCCATTTTACTTGGATACTCTTTATTTATTTGCCACAATCTATGTGGACTCCTAGCAGCTTACAACTGTAAAAACAGGAGGAAAACCCTCACATAAAATACAACATAACAAAGACCTTCCATTAGTATGGAATTGTTTAACTCCTTCATGCCTTGACAATGAGCACACATCTTCAAGTTGCCATGGCTTATTTATTTTATTTATCAAATTTATTTGCCGCCCATCTTGAGGTAGAAGGCGACTTTGAGCAGCTTACAAACAAGATAAAAGACACAAACATTTGACAATTATAAATAAAAAAACGATTAAAATTATTTTAAAAAAACTTAAAAAACCAAGGATTCAGAGGGGAGACGTGGGGTGCCTTCTCTTATTAGTGCATCAACCACCTCCAGCCAACAGCTTCTCCTTCAGAGCCCCATGGCAGATGCCATAGTCAGGTTCTAAGACCTTTCCTGGAGGCTAAAAGAGAGGGAGGGGTGGCGAATCTCACACCCAGATAGGGTTACTCTATAAACCGCTTAGAGAGGGCTGTAAAGCATGTGAAGTGGTATATAAGTCTAAGTGCTATTCCTATCTCACCTCCTGCGCCACCATGTATCAAAGGGCAGGAACCTTGGCAGAAAAGGCTCTTCTTCTGGATCCCACCAGCCAAAATTCCTTGGACGATGGGATCTGCTGTAGGCCCCTTCTCTAGCATGAGTGGGATGGGCAATCCCACTGGGGAAAGACTGGCTGAGAAACCCTGCTCTAGAGCAGTGGTGGCGAACCTATGGCACGGGTGCCAGAGGCGGCACTCAGAGCCCTCTCTGTGGGCACGCACGCCATCACCCCAGTCCTAGGCCTTCAGCTGGGTTTTATAAAACCTTTTCGCTTTAGGCCTCCGCCGCCGTGTGGAAAAAAAAAGGTTCAATCAATGAGTCAATTTCAACTTCTCGCAGGAAAAAAAGATCTTGCAAAGTTGGAGTTGATTGATTGAACTTTTTAGTCCCACCCAGTTTGTCATTACCACCGTAGCCATGCCCACCCAGTGGGCCACACCCACCCAATGGGCCACACCCACCCGGCACCCGACGATGCATAAGTGGGTTTTGGGTTGCAGTTTGGGCACTCGGTCTCTAAAAGGTTTGCCATCACTGCTCTAGAGAAAGGCCATCACAACTCAGGTAAGATGTCACCAAGTATAAGGCCATTTCTGTGACCACAAAGATCAGCACTGTCATCCCAGGGTAAGGTGCCACAGTGAAAGCTGGACATTACGAAAGAAAGAAAGGAAGAAATGCCTTCAAAGGAGAGATTTGGAAATAAGGATAAAGAGCACCAGACCTCCAGAAGAACTAATCAGCCAGTTCTGGATGACATCAAGACTGAAAGGCTTCCTTGCCTTCAAAAAGCAGAAACTCACATATTTGGAGCAAATGATGTCAGTGGATTAGAAACAAGAACTATGCTTAGCAAAGTGTGTAAGTGTGTGTGTGTGTGTTAATAAAAGGAAGGTGATAGATGAATGAGATCTACTGGATTCATTCGGAAGAGGCATACTTTCAGTAAACTGCAAAGAATCCTAACCTTATTGCATCACCAGGTTGATTTGCAAGTTCAGGGGAAGAAAAAAGAGTGATAAATGAAAAAAAGTGGAGGGACGCATTCGGATTCTTATCATCCACTTTTATAGAATCTATAAATTCTAATAGTCTACAAGTTACTACTTGGATCAGCTTGAAAGGGCAAGCATTTCAACCCTTGGCAATAAACCCAACCTAAAGCCAATTAGATAGAAGATGATAGATAGAATAAGAAGAGTTGGAAGGGACCTTGGTCATCTAGTCCAACCCCTAGCCTACTCCAATTCATGGTACTATATTATAACCCTTTAAGTCCTTTTGAGGGGAGGTCCTGTTTATGCAGTGTATATTGGAGGTGGTGACCCTTTGAAAGATGTAACAAAATCCCATTTTAATGTATGCTGATCAGTGTACATTTAAAGTGACAATAAAATTATTATTCTATTCGATTATTCTATTCTAAGTCGATCTTGAATACCAGCAACTTCACGGCCAGGCACGATTGTTGTTGTTGTTTTGACAGACATGTATGGAAGAGCTTGCCCGCCCCTTTCTCCCTTCTCAAATCTAAGCCCCTCTCCCAGAATTGATCCCCTTGTGGTCTCCCATCCGAGGGCTAAGAATCTGATTACAGATTCTGACCCTGTGATCTCCTGGTGGTCCCCCATCCAAGGAAAAAAAGCAAAATCCGAGCCGGGTCAGCTTCCCAGCCCCGCCCGATCATTGGAATTGGCTTTTCCCACGCCCCCCAGCACCAGAAGCCTCACCTCGCTCGACGTCCCGGAGCCCCCATCGATCCACCGCGCCCTCCAAGCGCTGCCTCGCCGCCATCGCGCGCAGCTCCATCCCCGCCGCGGCCTTCGAACCGACCAATCGCGGCGCTCGCCGCCCCTTAGCCAATCCCCGCCGGCCGGGGGACGCCGGGACGTCGCGCCTGCGCACGACGGGAAGAGGACAGAAGGGGCGTTCCCGGGCAGGCGAGGCCCGAGGGGAAGCCCGCATGCGCCGTGCGAGGGGCGCTCCGCGAGGAGCCGCCTCTCGCTTTCCCTCTTCCTCCCCCCCTCCCCCGCCGGGCTGGAGCAGGGCGGCGCATGCGCGGTGCCCGATTCCTCGGTCCGGGTCGCGGCGCGAGCTCGGCCAGCCTAGCAGCCGGCGTAGCCCAAGCGGAGGAAGCGGGCGGCAGCCGCAGCGGCGGGCGATCTGCTGTCATCGCTCGGAAGGAAGCCGGCCCGGGTGCTGGGAAGAGGCGCCGCGTTGCATTTGACCCCCGCTGCTTGCGGCCTTCCTGCAAGGAGCAACGCCCCCGTGCAATCCCCCCCTTCCCCGCCGTGCAAAGCATCCTCTTCCAGCAGCACCTTTGCAAGGCGACTCAAGAGCGAGGGGGCCGGGATCCTGCTTCCTCCCAAGCTGCTTCCCTTTTTTGCATGCCTCCGTGCAGGCTTCTCCCGGGCGCCCCGGCTTGCAGCGCTGCACCACCCTCTCCTCTTTCTCCGGCTGCAAGCGGCGCCCTCTCCCCCCTTCGCCCGCCCACCCGCCCGGCCTTGGCCACCGGGGCCCCCAGCGCAGCTGCCGCTCCGTTGCGGCTGCTGGCATCGCGGCTTGGGCTCCCCTTCTCCGGCAGGCTCCCTCCCTTGGCTGAAGGCTCCGGCAAGTCCCCTCGCCTTGAGCCTTTCCCGGCCGTAAAAAGCTCCCTGTCCCCGGCAGCCTCAGCCTGCATCCCCCCTTGGCTCCGGCATCCCCACCTCTCCACCCTGGCTTGAGCTGCGCTGCGGTCCAGCAAAGCCAGGTTGGCCTCCGGGCGGGGCGGCTGAGCATCTTCGCAGCCTTGGGCATCCCTGGGCAGGGGGCGGGGGGGTGCAAGGCTTTCCCTGGCTTGGGGAGTAGGGGGAGCCTGTTGGAGCTCTTGGAGGTGGTGCCCTCGCCCTCCACCCCGGTCCGGAGATGAGCTTCTTTGGGTTCGGACAGAGCGCAGAATTGGAACTGGTCTTGAGCGATGCTGAGAGCCGGCGCCGGGCGGAACATAAGACGGAGGAGGGCAAGAAGGAGAAATACTTCCTTTTTTATGACGGCGAAACCGTGTCCGGGAGGGTCATCTTAACCCTCAAGCAGCCCAACAAACGCCTGGAACACCAGGGCATCAAGGTGGAATTCATTGGCCAGATTGGTAAGCATGGATTAATGCTGGCTAGTTGACAGTGACCCTAGAAGGGACATGAATAGATAGATAGATAGATAGATAGATAGATAGATAGATAGATAGATAGATAGATAGATAACCTTTATTGTCATTTTTTTTAGTGTGGGCACAATGGCACACATTAAAAATGAAATTTAGTTGCTTGCTGTCAAAGCGTACACATAACATACATTTAAACATAACTATAAGCAACATATATATATAGACCTACACCCTTACCTAACAGAGATGCGGGTGATAGTGGAAACTGCATTCACGATGCTGTGTTTCAATATACTCTCAGCCGGGTGCGAGCACAGGTAGTCTCCATTTAGCAACTGACCGGTTTAGTGACTGTTCATCCATAACAGCTGTGATGAAAAGGTAACTTCACTGCCAAGGTAAAGCAAGGTCTGTGGAGCAAAAGAAAGCTGAATTCAGGTCATGAGCCCAGATGCAGTTTTGCTTGATGGTGGCTTTGCTTAATGACCAAGTTGTGGGTCCTAATTGTGGCCACTAAATGAGGATTTACCTGTAAAACAACCAGGATGACACTTGTGAGGCCAGTTTTGGGTGTCTTTTGGCATACTATCAAAGGACATCACTTAAACTTAGTAAAGGTTTTGACTGACACAGAAGGGTAGGTAACTTTAGGATGGAAAATCTATTTTGTCTTTGGGATTAAATTTAAAGAGAATTTGAGGTTTGGAGCATATTTTTATGATGACTGGCAGTTTTTTATTCTCACTAGAGAAAGGGTAGCTTGCTTAGGTACTTTGCCAGAAAAATATTTTGTCTTAGAGCAGGGGTATTGACGTTAATAGCTTTAAAACCTGTGAACTTCAGCTCCCAGAATTCCCCAGCTAGCCATACTGGCTGGAGAATTCTGGGTATTGAAGTCCAAAAGTTGCCCAGGTTGGATATTCCTACCTTAAAGTCAAGTCAGGTTTAGAGTTTGCCTTCCTTGCAGACTGGTTCAATTTAGCATGGGGATTGAATTAACTTTAAGGTAAGTTTTTATGGTTACTGGTGGCGATCCTAACCCTATTAGAGTGATGATCGCTTTCTGAATAATTTAGGTAAAATAAATGCTTTTCTATTGGATTAGATTAGGCTTGCTTCAGGTCTAAATTGAACTTTTAAGAAGTGGATGAGTTTTCATACTTCAGTGTTTTTATGATTACTGATGGTCCTAAGTTTTTGTTAAGATATAGAGATTGCTTGGTTTTAAAGAAAAATCATTTCTTTTAAGGTCAGTTTATGGCTGGCTTTCCTTGAAGTCTGTAATTAAATTTTGTATAAGTTTTAGCTGCGTGTTTTTATGATTTGTGGTTATCTTAATGTCATCTCACAATGGAAATTGCTTTTTGAGATAATGCTTAGGCTAAACCACCGGGTTTTTTTTCTCCCTTTAGGATAATTTTAGACATTGTTGTATCGTTAAATTTAATAAGAATGTAAACTTTCTAAACTCATCTCTAAAGGAGAGGGATGGTGCAAAAATGTTAACTATAAATAAAACTTTGGGCAAGGTTTTATTTTATATTCATGGAACGATAGAAACTGCTCATTGCTCATTAGAGAGAGATTTAAGGTAAAGAAAAAGCTTTTGGGCTGAATTTGAGGGTAGGATTCAATGATTTCTGTGGCTTAGCTTTATATGAGGATTACCTGCACAGTGAGTTTTGATGGTTAGGGTTAGTCACTTAATCTGGGGAATTGCTTTCTGGATTAATGTTCAGAGGAAAAAATGCTATTGAAGTACATGGAGTCCTCTCTTAATGAACAATCACTTAGCAACCGTTGTTAGTTATGACCCATCCCCAAATTATGACTGTGGCATCACCCTAAATGCCGTCATGTGATTGAATTTTGAGCTCTTGGCAATAGGCGTGCATTTATGACGAGTTGCAAGTGTCCTGTGCCCGTTTCCAGGGGGGGGGAAAACCCCACACCCTTTCAGGAGAATGGATTTGCTTGCTTGTTTGAAAGCCACCTGGGACTTACAACTTCCTGCCAGTTTCCCCACTGACTTTGCTTGTGGGAAGCCTGCGGGAAGTTGCAAGTCATGGTCACTAAGGTCCCCACTTAACAACCTGTGATCCTTGCTTAACGATGGCAAAGGCGACTGCGTTGGGTATGACTGCCAGGATTGTAATCGCTAAACGATGCAGCCATGAGACATTGCAGTTTACAACTGTGTCACTTAGTGACAGAAATTCTGGGGATCCCAATTACCGTCATTACGTGAGGATTACCTGTATTCATTTCGTAGCTCATCAGCGCTTGCCAAACTTTTTTTTATTTTTTTAGTCTCGGATCCATGAGCTTACCCCAAGTTCCTATTAATTATCTTGAAAAGGCCAGCTGGCAATTTTGAATGTCACACATAACCCTGAGCGCAAATTTGCTGAACTTTTCCCAGTAAATTTTCTTCGTTTGTTTTTTTTAATGTGAGAACTGGAATACGCCAGGATCCCTGTTTGATTCTATTTCACCCTTCCCTGATAGAATATCAAAGCATCTTAACTGGGCAACAGGAAATAACTGTCAATGGCTTGGATCAGGAGCTCTAAACTTGGCAATTTTAAGACCTGTGGACTTCAACTCCCAGAATTCCCCAGCCAGCTGGTTGAAGAATTCTGGAAGTTGAAGTCCACAGATCTTAAAGTTGCCAAGTTTGGAGACCCCTGGCTTAGACGATGGATATTTTTTTTTGGGGGGGGAGAAGTCCTAGCTGAGCAATAGAGCATGTGTTTTCAAGGTCCAGGATTCAAATCTTCTCAGCCCTAATTAAAAAAGAAAGGTGATAGGAAAGAATTCTTATACAATTCAGGTTGATCAAGATAGATGGAACAATAGTGATTCTTTTTTTTTATTTTTTAACAGTAACCGGCAACTCCAAACTGCTCAGATCAATGAACTGCACCAGGGTTGATTTAAATGGGCAAGCAACCTTTTACGTAAAGCTTGCTTTATTAAAATGCTATGTAATTTAAGATACAGCAGCTCAGTTGCGTTTGACTTTCTTTGCATTATTTATGCAGCAATCTGGATTCCCAGAAAAAAAACCCATTGGCGACGCCTTAAATCAAAACGCCTATTTTCTTCTTGGCGGCTCAGTAGGCCATTTCAGAATTGCATCCATTTGCGTGACCTAATTTGTAGTTTGTTCCTTGCACTAGTAACTGATTTTGGGTGATGTTGCCCAGAACTAAACCTTGGAAAAACATCAGCACAGCAGAATAGCTTAATGGAAGGTTTTCTTCAAAATATTCTTGGGTTTTCTTTTTCCCACTCCACATTGTTTCTCAAAAGGGGCAGGATGTCAGGGTGATATCAGGGTGCCATCAGAGCTGTGGTGGTGCAGTGGTTAGAATGCAGTATTGCAGGCTAGCTCACTGCTCACTGTCAGGAGTTTGATTCTGACCAGCTCAAAGTTGAGTCAGCCTTCCATCGGTAAAATGAGGACCGCGTTTGTTGGGGATAATATGCTGACTCTGTAAATCGCTTACAGAGGGTTGTAAAGCGCACTATGAAGCAGTATATAAGTCTAAGTGTTATTGCTATTGCTATTTTAATTTTATTTAACATGGAAGTATCTTTTTTAATGGAGAGTATATCCCTCCTAGAATTATACTATGACCGAGGGAACCATCATGAATTTGTGTCTCTGGTGAAAGATTTGGCCCGTCCTGGTGAATTCACCCAATCCCAAACTTTTGACTTTGAATTCACTCATGTGGAGAAACCGTACGAATCCTACACTGGGCAGAACGTGAAGCTCAGGTGAGTTCCATTCCCCCAAGTGGGCTTCTCTAGTCAAGTCTTCCTCCCCCCTCCCCCCTCTGGAGATAAACCTGCTTAGAAGCATCTTAATCCACCTTTTTCCCTTTCATAGGTACTTCCTCCGGGCCACCGTGAGCCGCAGATTGAATGATGTGGTGAAAGAGATGGACATTGTGGTGCACACGCTTAGCACGTATCCGGAGCTCAACTCCTCCATTAAGATGGAGGTGGGGATTGAAGATTGCCTGCACATTGAGTTTGAGTACAATAAATCCAAGTAAGTTGATTTGTCTTGCACTTTTTAAATGTGTGAGCCTTGTGGCTGGTGATGTAGCCAAGGAACATGTGAAGAACGGTTGCAGGAATTGGGTATGCTTAGTTTAATGAAAAGAAGGACTAGGGATGACATGATAGCATCTTCCAATATCAAAGGAGCTGCCACAAAGAAGAGGGTCTGCAAGCAATATAAATCCTTCCACTCCCCACCATCCAGTCAGAGCTGAAGAAGCTTCTTGGATGAGAAGCGAAACGTCTTCAAAAGAAACACAAGCAAGTCCAGTTGCCTCCTGAAAAAAGGCACAACAATATGGTTTTGGTCTCTTTCTGATCCAGTCGTTCTTTTTCAGTCCAGTGTCCCTTTTATGGTGGGGAGAAGTTGGAAGAGGACCTCCAGCTTTAAGCTCCTGCAGGAAAGGATGAAGCAGATCCACAACTACATATTCAAAGAAAATCTGTGAAGAGAACAGGTTATTCTGATCCACCGGCCTCATTCCCTGTTGATCTACCATCTCTTCCAGGTACCATTTAAAAGATGTGATCGTAGGGAAAATCTACTTCCTCCTTGTCCGGATCAAGATCAAACACATGGAGATCGATATCATCAAGAGGGAAACCACTGGAACAGGGCCCAACGTCTACCATGAAAATGACACCATTGCGAAATATGAGATTATGGACGGGGCTCCTGTGAGAGGTGAGGTGGAAGACCCTTCTCCATGGGGGACCTTTCCAGGCCGTTGTGGCTGGGGGGAGGGCAGAGAAAGCCACTCCCCTTTTTTCACTTCTGTCCATCCTAATGATTTTTTTGTGGCATACTTCAGACTTATAGTAGGCAGGGATATTAGATATCTGTGCCACCTGGACTTATATAATTTTTAAAAAAATATTGTATATAATATAATTATATTATAATATCTAAATAGGTAAAATCTAAAATAACTATAAGGATAAAAGTACAGCAATGCATAAATAAAGTAAAAATATATTTGAAAACATACGCTTCGATATTTTGCTATTGCCATCAATACCCCTCCACAAAGTTGCATGCTTAAAAAATAATAACAAAAATCAAAATGAAGCTAATTAAAATAAAATAGCAACATCGAATAATAAAATGATAATGGAACCAATAAATAAAACAGTAATGAATACTAAAGTTAAATAAAAAAGGAATAATAACAATAATTGGGCTTTTTTGTGCATGTGTGCATTTTTATTCGGACATAGACCAGATTATGGTGTCTGTCTGTCTGTCTGTCTGTCTGTCTGTCTGTCTGTCTGTCTGTCTGTCTGTCTGTCTCTCTCTCTCTCTCTCTCTCTCTCTGTGTGTGTGTGTGTGTGTGTGTGTGTAAATATATGAAGGAGAATATTTGTAGCTCAGGCTTGAAAAGTCCTTGGTGCTGTCTGAGCTTGGTTGTTTTGTTGCAGACGTTTCATTATCAAACTAGGTAACATCATCAGTGCTAGGAGTGAGTGGCATTTATAAACAGAGACCAAATTCCCATCCCCTCCTAGCACTGATGTTGTTACCTGGTTTAGTAATGAAACGCCTGCAAGAAAACAACAAAACCCAGAGAGCACCAAGGACCCCTCAAATTTATAAAAGAAGGATAAAACCATAATAATAATAATAACTCGGTCGGCTAACTGCCTCTCACTTCCTTTGCAGGAGAGTCCATCCCGATTCGGCTCTTCCTGGCTGGCTATGAACTGACGCCCACCATGAGGGACATCAATAAGAAGTTCTCGGTGCGCTATTACCTCAATCTGGTGCTAATTGATGAGGAGGAACGTCGTTATTTTAAACAGCAGGTGAGAAAACTGAATTATTTGGGGAGGGGGATTTCGGCAGGAGTGAAATCCTGGGGCAGGGAGTCCCCCAACATGGGCCACAGCCCTAGAGCAATGTTTCTCAACTTGAGCAATTTGAAGTTGAGTGGACTTCACCTCCCAGAATTCCCCAGCCAGCCAACCATAATGGAACCTAGAGTTCCCATTATAAGTCAAGATGATTGTAAGTCAAGTCGTGACCTTTTTTGTGCCAGTTGAGCAAATGCCACACTCGTTAAGGGGGTCAATGCTAAATAAATTGCCTGACCGCAGTTATCAAGCTCCTGAAATGAAGTCCCATGCCTGGGGGGGATGTGTGCCATCATCGTAACTCTGGATCTGGGTCATAAGCACCTTTGGTGGAAGGGTCTGTCATATCTTTGAACAGCTGCTAAGTGGGTGGTTGTTAACTGAGGACTACTTTAATAGGGAGAAGTCCAGCACAATCAGACTGGCCAGATTCTTTACCTACACTCAGTCTCAAAAATGGCTTTAGCCTTCTTACGGAGTTGATTTCCTGCTGGCGTTTAAGGGTATCCATGCATTTACTATCCAGCGTATCCCTGTTTAATGCAGAGCAAGTTCTCTGATGCACATTGCTGCCCCTGCCCAGACTTTTCAGAACAGCCGAGATCGAGAACGATGGGAGATGTAGTCCTTGAGCATCGGTTAGATCCTAAGCTTCCTCTACTTGATTAGCTGATGCAGCACGTTTGAAGTTCTCCTGTCTTCTTCTCCTTTGGGGCACAGGAGGTGGTGTTGTGGCGCAAGGGGGACATTGTAAGGAAAAGCATGTCCCACCAGGCCGCCATCGCTGCGCAGCGCTTCGAAGGCACGTCGTCCCAGACGGAGAGCAGGACCCCCAGCCAGGCTTCGGAGAACAACGGGCGGCAGTGAGGGCCCTCAAAGGAAGAGTGGACGGGGAAGGAGCATCGAGAGCGCCTCTTCCACCAGAAACTTGCAAACGCAAAATTATCTGTCAGGTTGTCTTTCTGTCTGTGTGTGTTTCGTCTTTTACCTTGAGGACTAGCAGCTTAACAGGACGGGGAAGGGGGTTGGCGCACATAAAGGGAATATGGCTGTTTCTCTCTACGTTCAGTATTTATGGATAAGCTTAAAGGGGCAGGACAGATGGGGTTTTTGGATGTTGTATTGGAAGAGGACTGTGGAAAAATATTTTTTTTAAGAGTGTCCCATTTTCTCTCTATTGGAAGCTGTGTGCTCCAGCTGTCAGAGGAGTTCAACCATGTATTTAGCAATCATCTAAAAATACCATGGGTCAAATGCTCCCCAGACTTCGGATGACTTAGACGCACAAGCAGCCACAGGGTGTGTATGTGTGTGTACAAAACAGCTCCCGTTCTTATGTTGTTACCCAAATGAAGCAGGTTACTTAATTCCTGGCCTTTGCACATTGGGGTCATGTTGTGCATGACGTCATCACAGCTTGTATCAGATGCCGAGAAATGTCTTTGTATTTTATTTTTGGGAAGAGGCTGAGCATACTTTGCTCCTAAAGATTTTATCTTTAAAAGTTTTATCCTTTGAAAAGAAGGCCCTACCTTTAGGAAGGATAGCCCTGTGTTTCTGCATGAGTCTGTGTTCTGAAAGCACCTTCTAAATGAGAAAAATAATTTGAAGATTGAGCATCGTGATGGACAAACCACTACACCTGAAAAGAAAGCGATGGAAACGCCTGAATCATTCTGGGAGACAGTGGGGAACCTCCTTGTTGATCCTGACACACGCTTGGCAAAAGTCTATCTTAATTTTTTTCAGGTTTGTGAGCAGTCTTGGGTGAAAACACTTCTTCCCAACAGCTTCCCCTAGTCCAGGGGTAGGCAACCTTGGCTCTTTTATGACTCGTGGACTTCAACTCCCAAAATTCCTGAGCCAGCCATGCTGAGGGGAAAGGGAGAGTTTCTAAGCAGAGCCATGCTGGCTCAGGAATTCTGGGAGTTGAAGTCCACGAGTCATAAAAGAGCCAAGGTTGCCTACCCCTGCCCTAGGCTGATCTTTGCAGAGAGAGGGAGCAAAGCAGGAAATCCAAACATTTTTGCTTAAATTGTGAAGTTGATTAAAACACACGTTCCTTGCTTCTGTCAAAAGTTGTCCTTTTAAGCCAGAGATGGGGAACGATGGCCCCTTCATGACTTGTGGACTTCAACTCCCAGAATTCCTGAGCCAGCATGGCTAGCTCAGGAATTCTGGGAGTTGAAGTCCACAAATCATACAAGGGCCATTGTTCCCCACCCATTTTAAGCTCTGTCAAATTTACTTCCTTTCTCCCGATTCCCAAGAATTTGGTTGCTTCTCACTCTTGGGATTCGTAAAGTCTGTGCTTGAGTGTGGGGAGAAAATGGAAGGATCACCTACTCTCAAGAGTATCTCTGTTGCTTCTCTGCCTGATATACTCTGCTGAATTTGTTTCCTGCTTGGACGGTATGGCTCTGCCATCCAGCTGGTCTTGTCAGAAAACCTGATTTTGGAGGAAAATAGCCAAAAAGAGTGGATCATGGACTCAATTGACTTCTGTGAGCAATGGGCCACCAGCCACCTAACTTAGCAATGTTGCCAGACTGGTGAGCATTCTCCTTCTTCCTGCCTGGCCCCAAGACTTTTACGTTGCTTTCTAAGTTCATTCAGGCCAGAAAGATGGAAATTCAATGGCCTGCAAGAGATATCTTCCACTGTTCCGTGCAGAGAAAGCAAATTTTCAACTTTACCCGAAGATGTCAGCATATGGAATGAACTGAGTGCCTCTTAGTATAGTGCAAGCTGAATTTTCTTGGTTTTTTTTTCCTTTTCAAAAGGAATTAATCATAACAGAAGAGAATAACAGAGTTGGAAGGGAACCTCAGAGGTCTTCTAGTCCAACCCCCTGCTGAAGCAGGAAATCCTATGCCATTTCAGACAAATTAAGGACAGTTGCGGCCAGTCTTGTCTGATTCTTATTCCCTGGCTCCATTTTGTGATTAGTAAGGCACTTTCTGGCCTGAAGGCGGATTGAAAATCATGGATTGCAGTTTGCAAATATTCTCAAAAGTGTGTGAAATCAATCCATGTTCCCTCCTGTTTCTGTCTCATTTAGCAGCATGGTCAGTACTGTCTTGGTCCATTTGTGGCCTTCAGCACTTTTAGGATTCTCCTCATATTTTATTTTATTTTTTTATTTTACATTATGCGTGCTCTTAAATCGGGGTGGATTGTGTGGGGACTTTGTGAGGCTTCAATTCAGCAACAAAGGTGCGGTTTTTTCCACCAATTTGGGGAAAGAAAACAAATGAACTGTGTTAAGGCTGCTGATAAACTGACTTCAACTCAGTTGCCTTTTGTTAAAGTATTTGTGTCTAAGATGGTTGCCTGATCCTGCCATACGGGATGAGAATTAGAATTGTGAAATTCTTCCTCTAGAAAAGAAATTACACTTCTACTTGCTATACTATTTATAAACTACTTGTAGTATACGATCTAAATATACATTGAATAAATAACCGAAAGGTAAGTAGCTAATTGTTTTAAGAATTCTGGACCAATCTTACTCCTCATCACTTTTCACAGAAGTGTCTATGAAAACATGGAACGATACAACAGTCTCACTTTTTGCTTTGCAATAAAGTCAGGTTTCTAGTCGTCATGGATGTCAGCATCTAAAATTTGTCGGTCATACCCTGTTCAGATTTCAGAAGTAGCAATTTGAGCATGGAAAATTTCCAGGGGTATGTAAGTGGGGTTTTTTTTCCTCTTGGCCAGAAACATGAGAAACTGGGTACCTGAAGACCAATGTTGGAAAGTAACTCAAGCTTTCTGCAACTGGACTCTTCTGAGTAAAGGACACTATTTTGAACTCAGAACATTTTCAGAATGATTGAAGCCTCCCATTTTTATATTCAAAAGAGAAAGAGAAGATATTCATTGTCCAAAAGATTGAACTTCTGGGTAGGCATTATTGTTAGAAGCCAGTTTGGTTTAAAGGTGGCTTCTTAACCAAGAGAAAGGAGGCTAAACCATGTTTAAATCACTGTCCATCTTTCACAATGAGCCGACATCAAGCCAATCACAATATGACTTAGAGCACTGTGTGAATCTGGCCCTGGTGCCTTGTAAATCTTAGTTATGGATTAGCGTTAGCCTAATTATATTGATCATGGCTAGTAGACTACACTAAGCATGGTTAAAGCAGGTAGACCTTAATTAAAATAAGCTTTGGTTATGAAACCATGGTTTAGTGCAGTAGTGCCCATTAAAGGCCAAACAGACGTAGGGAATTCTTGAAACTTTGGGCATCCAGAATGCTTTCAAAAGTCACTCAACTGAGATGGGAAGAAGAGAGAATATTATTTGGGGAATGAACTTACTAACTGTATATATAACTGAATTGTATTCTATTTAAAAAATGTGTATATATTTTTTATTCTGGTCCAACCAGTTTTTGTTCTGGCACCCACTTACTTTTTGTAGAATGGACCCCCCCCCCATGTCCATCTTTTACAAAAGATGGTGCATCCTTGGTGTGATGTTTGACTCCATCCGAGAAGTCACTCAGTTAGGGAAAACAAAGAACTTTTGTCTGCTATGTCTCTCTGCATTTGTACATATAGTCCTCGGCTTACGACCACAACCGAAGCCCAACATTTCTGGGGCTAAGCAAGGCAGTTAAGTGAGTTTTTGCCCCATTTTACCACTTTTCTGGCCACAGTTGTTAAATGAATCACTGCCATTGTTAAGAGAGTAGCATGGTTGTTAAGTGAATCTGGCTTCCCCATTGACTTAGCTTGTCAGGTCACAAAAGGGGAATGTGTGACCCCGGGACGCTGCAACTGTCATAAGTATGAGTCAGTTGCCAAATGTCTGGATTTTGATCATGGGACCACGAGGGTGCTACAGTGGTTGGGTGAAAAAATGGTCATAGGTTTTTTCATTGTAACTTTGAATGGTCACTAAATGTACTGTTGTAAGTCAGGAGTACCTCTCTGTATAAGCCTTCTTTGAGGATACTTCACACCCTTCTAAGATTTCCTCAAGAAGAAGGATGAAGATGGAAGGTTTTGTGACTGGTACCGCCACTTTTCTGGAGAACTTCATGGAAAACGTGAACATTTTCCTATTCTTTCTGAGTTCCTTCTCCGGTCGCAGCACCACTGCCAAGCCAGGATGACGACAAAACTATCCCATAATTTTCTCAGAGAACTTTGCCACTTGGAGACTATCAATGTGCTCTTTGCCATTCAAAAAAATCACCTGTTGTCAAAACGAGGCAGACACCTTAAATCTGCTTTCAGCTCGTTTATCAGGATCACACAGGCATTCACTTGCAAATGTAGTTTTAAAAAAGTTTTCCAAAACAGCTCAGTGACAACCTTGAAGTAGAAGGCGATAGGCTGTGATAAATCTATGCTGGACTTTGAGAGAACCATTCATACTATGTAGTTGTATTCTCTGAGACAGTCTGGCTCTGAGATAAATATTATTTTGAAGCTGCCGAGGGAGTAAACCTACTCTTACAGCCATAGGAGAGAAAACTGGAAAGCTTTTGAAAGTGAAATTCAGCTGCTAGATTGGTCATCTGGGACTGGGAAATGGAGATGTAGACACATTCTGTTATTCCACAGAAAATCAAAAGTGGAAGAAACCAGGATGGAGAGAGAAATCCCAGTTCTTGAATAGCATCTTCCTTCCTTGATGAACTAACCAAGTTACTTCAAGGTGTGCTATTTCCACGGATAAGATCCAGGAATCAGTAGTGAAATATGAAAGGTCTTTTCAGTTCACTCCTCCAGACAGGCCCAGGAAACTGAACTGGAGTTGGTGAATTTCTAATTATGAAAAATATCCTGTTGCCCAATCTGGTTGTGATGGACAGTGGTGAGATTCAGCCGATTCGCACCACTTTGGTAGCTATTTTTTTGTTGCCCAGGCCCAGAACGGACTTTCGGAAGCAGCATCCACACAGAGAACCAGTTGTTCCCATATTTGAATCCCACCACTGGTGATGGAGAACAGTCTTCTCCAATGTTGTGTCCTGCAGATGTACTGGACCACAACTCCCAGTAGCCTTAGCGGCAGAACAGGTAGAAATCTGAAAATCCAACACACTTAGCAGGCAGAAAACTGCTCTATCCCTCCATTTCCGGTGACTTTCAAACTCTTGTTTCTACTAAGTGATCTTGGCAGACCTCAACTTAATTGAGCACAAAATTTCCGTTGCTAAGCAAGACAGTTAAGTGAGATTTGCCCCATTTTATGACCTTTTTGCCACAGTTCTCGCGTGAATAACTGCAGTTATTCTGTAAATCACGCAGTTAAGCAAATCTGTCTTCTCCCATTGACTTGGCTTGTCAGAAGCTGGCTGGGGAGATAACAAAGGATGATCACGTGACCCTGGGGATGCTACAACAGTTGTAAATACATACCAATTGCCAAGTGCCCGAATTTTGATCACATGGCCAGGGGGACGCTGCAACCGTTGTTAAGTGTGAAAACCGGAGATAAGTCACCTTTTCACTGCCACTGTAACTTTGAACAGTAACTAAACAAATGGTTGTAAGTTAAGGACTACCTGTATTTATTTCACATCAATTCCAGCATGGGGAAAAAGTCTTCTAGTTTGTCTCCGGCTTGGGACAGTACAGAAATAAAAAGTTGTAGAAGAAATGATGGGAGTCCATAATGATCAGAGGTTAAAAAAAAACACCTGGAGGTGGGGGCAAAAAGGGGGTCTACAGGTAAGCTGTGCAACATGTAAATTTTAAGCTTGTACATTGTTTACCTGTTTCTTAACCCACTGTCTTTTAAATGTTTGTATTTTTAAAAGGATGGGAAGTTTTCTTTTGGCTCCAATTAAAAAAGGGGGGGGCTGTTCTCGCCTTTAAAAAGTCGGGGGCTGGTGTGACTTTTTTCCAATTGTGCTGAGGTTGTCTTTCAAACTTGCCTGTAGAGAAAAACTATGGCATCTCTGCCTTGCAACAATATATTTCTTTGTTTATCCTGCCTGTATTATTTTTACAAATAACTCAAGGCAGAGAACAGATCCAACATATCCTCCTATTTTCCTCACAACAACAACACTGAGATGGCTTGGGCTGAGAGGGATGGGGCCAAACTCATTCAGGCAACTTTCATGCCTGAGGTGGGACTAGAACTCACCATCTCCTAGTGATTGGCTCAAAGTCACCCAGCCGGCTTTCATGCCTAAGGTGGGACTAGAATTCACAGTTCCCTGGTGATTGGCCCAAAGTCACCAAGGCTGGCTTTCATCCCTATGGAGGAACTTGAACTCACCATCGCTTAGTGATTGGCTCATAGTCACCCAGCCGGCTTTCCTGCCTATGGTGGGACTAGAACTCACTGTCTCCTGGTGAGTGGCTTAAAGTCATCCAGCCGCTTTCATGCCTAAGGTAGGATTCAAACTCACCGCCTCCCATTTTCTAGTCTAGTGGCTTAACCACTAGACCAAACTGGCCTCAAGTGCAGAATTTTATTGGAAGGAGGAGAGGCATTCTGCTTATGTTCAGACAATTCTCTGAGATTTCCTCAGCGCTTACCAGGAGAATTAATACTTGTCTTACTTTGTTAAAGAGACAGACAGCTTTTGCATTTTAAAGACTCCTAACGGTCTCAAAGTCTACAAGTCACCACTATGTGCAAATAGAATTGCTCACAATCCACAAATCTATTCTTGTTGGTTTGTTTTCCAGACCTGTATTCCCGTTTCTACATCACTTTATAATGACTTTATTCAGCCTTAGAATTGGTTCGCATTTTTGCACGGATGTGTATATTTGTATATGGGTGTTGTGCAATATTAGCACTTCCTATTTTATGTGAATAGGGGATTATTTTTGGCACATAATCTAACGGAGCTTCGTTGGAAAACTTGCCGTTAGTGGGAAGACAGATAATTACGGCCTTTTGATTTTAGCAAACACAAATGAGCTAATTATTAAATTGGTCTTTAAACGCAAGCTAATTCGAGGCCTGAAGAAACGTTGTTTTCCCTCCCTCGAAAATTAAAAAAAAAATCACTAAAAAACATTTATTTAGAAAAGGTTGCACTGCAATCAAAAAAGAACGAGTAGAAATTGAACAGTAAATGCTCGTGCTCTTTGCTCTCCGTGTGGTTTTGCAAGGAAGTGGTTTTAAAATCGGTTCTTGTGATGCTTTTTTTTTTTTTTTTTTGGTCCCTTATTCCAGGCTCAAAATGAATTCAAATTCCTCTTGAAAAGAAAAGAGAAAAGTCAGTCAGTCAGGGTGCTCTGCTCTGTTTACCTACGGAGCTTTTCATAACCCTTAATTTATGGCTTAGCTTTACAAATAGTCCTCAACTTAATGATGACAATTAAGATCAAGACTGCCATCGCTGAGCAATGCGGTTATAAAGCCCAAAGTCTCGGGACCGCATTGCTTAGCGACAGCAATCCGGGCAGTTCTGATTGTCGACGTAAACCCAAGTCATGTAGGTTGTTAAGTGGGAAGTGGAGGGAGTCCCGGGTAAGAACCGGAGTCACTTGGTGAAATTGGACGGCCATAGAAATCAAATAAACATAAAAACCGGTTGTAAGTGCGAGCTGCTTGCCCAACCCCTGAACTTTGTTCATGCAACTACTAGGAATACTGCAACAGTCAGCACTTCAAGGGCCGGTGCCATAATTTCGAACAGACTGCTGAGCAAATGGTTGTAACTCGGGGACTATCCAGAGTTAATCAGGAAGACTCTGATTCTCTCACGTCCTTACCCTCACTGACAGGTTGGATGGACACCCTCGGTCTTGTGAACAGAGCCATCTCTTTCAGAGGGCCTCCGGACTTCCGGTGGGCTTGGTGATGGGCCTTGAGTTCAGACAGAGGGATGAACCGCTGGGTCATTCGCACAAACTGGACATCGACCTACAAGCAAAAGGGAAGGACATCGGTGGGATTGAGGAACTGGCGCCATTGCTCACCCGAAGTGATGTGTTCAAGAGTTGGTTCCTCAACTGGAAAAAGATTCGGGGCAGAGGGGGGACTATTTTGTAAAGAAGGTTTTTCAATGTTGGCGGCTTTTAAGATGTGTGGACTTCAACTCCCAGAATTGAGACTCCAAGGGTCTGCAAATTTGGCAACTTTAAGACTTGTGGACTTCAACTCCCAGAATTCCCCAGCCAGCATGTGCTGGCTGGGGAATTCTGGGAGTTGAAGTCCACAGACCTTAAAATGGCTGCTGTTGAGAAACACTGCTGCAAATAATGAACTGTAAATTCCCCTGGTTTTGGCCAGTTCGTAGGAAGGCTGTAAGAAAACCATTCTCTGCCTGATGTACACAAAGACAAGAAACCACCATGTAAACTGTATGATGGTACTAAAGAGTTCTGAAAAATGGTTGAAACTGGGACACAAATTAACAAAGGGATCAATGTTAGTTTTCATGTCGCTGGGAACAGGGAACTGATCACCAGGCACTGGTGAGACTGAATTAGGGAAGAACCTTGCAAACCCCTGATGAAATCCACCTTACCATGGACCACCTGGGGTCTTCCTTTGTGCTGGAAGCGTCGTAATGCGGATTACTTTTTTCAAACTGGGTGTGATCAGGGTAAGCCTCTTTAACAATCTGAGAAGGAAAAGAGAGGAGAGGAGAGGATCTCAGTTGCTGCAGCCTCATAGAGTCACAGAGCAGAAAACAACCTTCATCCCAAACAGGCATCGCCTCAAAATCAAACATTCTGATCTTAACATTAATTTTATTGATTATACAGGTAGTCCTCGACAGAATTTCTGTTGCTAAGCGAGGCAGTCGTTAAGTGACTTTTGCCCCATTTTATGACCCTTCTTGCCACAGTGATTAAGTGAATCACTCTGTTGTGATTCCTCGCCAGCCAGTGGACCCGGCAGCTGAGTCTGAGGAATCAGAGGAGGAGGAGGAGGGGCCTGGAGTGACATTAGAGTCAGAGGAAGGCTCTGGGGAGAGACTTACAGTCTGACAAGGAGCCTGGCCCCTCTACTCGCGCTCAGGCTGAGACACAGCTGTGCTGGGAGTCTGAGTTGGACAGCAAGGAATCACAGCTGGGAGATATCCAGGATGCACATAAACGCCGGCAAGAGAAGCGAATAGGACAGAGGAATGCAATGAGGCGGCTCCAAAGGCAAAGGAGAAGGCATTAGGAAGCCACACCTTGGCTGCACAATAAAAGGGAAGATGTGGGAGGTGCTGGTTGCCGAACTGTGTTTGTTTGCCTTGGACATTTACTCAGGTCTGTGAATAATAAAAGGGGATTGTTTTTTTCCTGCGGTTCCAGCCTGCTTGTTGGAAGAGGGGTTTCTCCTTGTTAGTTTGACAAGGACTCACATAGGCTGGGACAGAACACACTGCAGTTGTTAAATTAGTAATGTGGTTAAGTGAATCTGGTTTCTCCATTTGCTTGCCAGAAGGTTGCAAAAGGGGATCAGGTGACCCTGGGACACTGCCACCGTCATAAATGTGAGTCAGCTACCAGGTGTCTGAATTTTGATCACATGACTACGGGGATGCTGCAAGGATCGTTAAATATGAAAAACGGTCGTAAGTCAGTTTTTTTCAGTACCATTGTAACTTTGGTCAATAAATGGACTAGTAAGTCAAGGATTACCTATATTGTACAGTACCCAGAGCCCCTTCTCAGGAAGTTTGGCAGTGAAGAAATAGGAAATATAAATAAATGAATAAAACCTACAAGGCCCATCCCCAATTCACACACGTTACACAGATCAACATTCAATTTTCCTTTTTGCACGTCAAGCCCATCTTCAGCCTGTTGGGGGTGATGCTTTTCCAGAATGGGCGTGTTTCAAACTCTGCACTCACCTTGATGATACCTGCAATCCCAGGGTCCTTGCAATTACTGTGGTAGAAAAAAGCTTCTTCTCCAACCTTCATATCCCGCAGGAAATTCCTTGCCTGCCGAAAGAGAAGAGTGAATTTCCGGCTTTTGTGTGTGCAGGAAACAATCCGCAGCCTGTACGCTTTTATATAAGCCCCACTGCAGTCTACAGTATATTGCTCCAGTTTTAGAAGTGAGGATACAGCATTAGCCAAAGATGCAATTATAATGAGTAACCATAATGAATTTTGACTTAGCAAACCAGGTGGCTTTCCCATATCCCACTAAGCCATGTTTTAGGGTAATCACAGTTTGTTCAGTAAGCAACAAATGGCTGGATTGGCATATCATTGTAAATTGGTTTGGCTTTGCCTTGGCCCAAACTTAACTAATTATGGCTTACTCAGAAGTAAACCACAAGAAGAGGAAGTTCATGGAGTACTAAAAGCAGACCTTGTCTGCTCTCTTAACAGACTTCAATCCATAAGCAAATTAAAACTAGAAACTGGTTGATTTCAAATCTATCCCATTCAAGATATTTTACTTATAGTAGTCCTTGAATTATGACCACAGTTCGGACCTGAACATCTATTGCTGAGCATGGCAGTTGTTAAGTAAGTCATGCCCAATTTTATGACCTTTTCTGCTTTGGTCGCTAAGTGACTTACAGTGTTGTTAAGCGAATCTGGCTTTCCCCAATGCATTTGCTTGTCAGAAGCCGGCTAGGACAGTCTCGAATGAATGGGAGATAATCAAAGATATTAAACTTTATCTCTGGTTTCCCATTTTTATAAGTTTTAACAAAAACTGTCAAATATATTCTACAATAGTTTTACCTGATAATTCCTGACTCCATCCCAACAAGCTGTTTGATTAGGCTGAGCTTTTAAATCTTCAATGCCAAACTGGTGAATGAAACAGTAAACATCACATTACTCAGCATGCTATAACTGCTCTTTTCTTCCATAAAATATTAAACATTTTAAATTGAACATTATGTATCAAACTTAAATGAAGACAAGGCAGAATAAAAAATGAATAAACCAAGATATTTATAAATGCCTTGGACAACAATCTTTCAGTGTAACATAAGTTAGTTGTAAATAAATGTATTATGTTTAAGGCAGGACAAGAAGCAATGGATAAAAACTAATCAAGGAGAGAAGCAACCTAGAACTAAGGAGAAATTTTCTGACAGTGAGAACAATTAATCAGTGGAACAACCTGCCTCTAGAAGTTGTGGGTGCTCCAACAGAAGAGAATGGACAGCCATTTGTCTAGAATGAAATAGGGTCTTTTGCTTGGAAGAGATGGGACTAGAAGACCCCGAAGGATCCTTCCAACTCGTTTTTTCTGCTCTGTTATTCATAGTTGCTAATAAGTGTTAAGAATGAATATATTTTGATTTAAGGGACTATTTTTGTTTCTATTAAGGTGGGATTCAGATTAAAGCAACTAATGGGACTTAATTTCTGCTCTCTTAAGAACTGTTGATCTCCAGCAAACCAATTGTCACATTTTGCATTTCTAGAGCCTATCTAGAAGTCAGATAGTTAGGTTTCCCTTTTGCTGTTTCAAGATCTCAATCTCTGCAATTAATAGAAAATAACCTGCTCACCTTCACATCAACTCCTTTTTCCAATCTACTCTCCGGTTCAGACTTCATAAGCCAGCGAGTATAAACTGTCTTACTTTTCTCCTCAATTCCAGCATCTTTTTTTAAGCTTGTCCCAGTCTTCCTCAATCCAGAACTGGTTAGTTTAGATCCCTTCTTCTTCTGGATCTCAGTTTTAGGCAATTTGGGCTGTTTGGTAGCTTAAGATGACAAAACCAGAACATGGAATGCTGATTAGATTTTATTAAGTCGGGGAAAATGGATCTTTAAATGAAGCAACCACAAAGAAGCAAAGTCTGGAAAACCACCACATATTTTTGGAAGTATGTCTCTCATGTTTTGTCAAGATTTCTTGTGAGGCATGTTGAAAGGCGTGTTTTTCTCTTGATATTTGTAAGATTAGAAGTTGCTTTGTCATGAAATGCATGTGAATTTTGTAGCTACTCTAAATCAGCATTTCTCAACTTTAGTAAAATTTTAACATCTGTGGACTTCAACTCCCAGAATTCCCCAGCCAATTCTGGGAATTGAAGTCCATGGATCTTAAAAGTGGTCACAGTTCAGAGTCAGTGCTCTAAATCAGGGCTTTTCAACCTTTTCACCCATTGTACCACTTTTAGGATATGGCAATATCCGAGTACCACTAGTCGCCTAGCAAGGTGTCAAAAACTTAATGACCAAAAAAAAAGTGATAAAATACAGGTAGTCCTCGACTTACAACATTTCGCTTAGTGACTGTTCAAAGTTACAATGGCACTGAAAAAGTGCCCCCCCAAGCCACAACCGAGCAAGACACCTGCCTGCCCACCCAGCGGCGGTCTTCCTCCTGTCCGAGGTTTTTATTGTTGTAAGCATTTCTGTTGAGGATTGGCAGTGGAGGTGGGGTGGGGGGTGTTTGGTTTTTATTCCCCCCGTTTGCTGGGTGGTTGCAGTAGGTTTTGGTCACTTCACATGACCCTGGGACACTGTGACCGTCATAAATATGAATCAGTTGACAAGCATCTGAATGTAAATCACAAGACCCTGGAGATGCTACAACATTCCAGCTGATCGGCGCTTCTTCTGGGCTCAGCAGAAGTACCAGGATCAGTGCAGCTTTCCAGCTGATTGGTGCATCTTCAGGGCTCAGCAGAAGCACCAGGATCAGTGCTGAGCTCCAGCTGGAGCCTGGCACTGATCCTGGCACTTCCGCTGAGCCCTGACAGGCCTGCAGCTCCAGCCATCTCTCGCTCAGGCTTGTGCGGTGCTGCCACTGGGAGGCTCATTCCCCTCCCCTGCTACCACTTTTCCAGGATGGTCACGTACCACCCGCCAGGTGCCAATGTACCACAGGTGGTACCCGTACCACTGGTTCAAAAGGCAGTAGCTATGAAGGACCAGCCACATCTCTTCTGCATGGGAAACAAACAGCAAACATGACTGGAAACATTAGAAGAACAATGCTGAGCTGTTAGATCTTACTGCAAAATTGGAAAATTGGCAGGGTTTAAGGAGAAGCATACACTTAAAAAACTGAAACAGAGAATGTGCATCTCACTCACCTGTCAAGGCTGCCCGGCCTCTTTTCTTGCCCTGGGCAGGCATTCTTTTCCTGCCAAGGAGTGGATTGGGCACCTGTAAAAAAGATTTCATTTGTGAATCAACAGAAACATTCCCTGATTGGCAGCTGCCCAGTTTGGTGTAAGCTGGGTGGCGATATAAACGTTTTAAATAAATAAACACCCAGTGTGGGTCCCTGAGCACCCAGTTTAATTAATTTTGTAGTGAAAGTTCAGGTTTCATTTCCTTTTCATGTTGCTACTCTTCATGGCTATGAAAACAGATCTGCCTGCTTGCAGGAGGCCCACAGATTCGATATACAGAGTCCAGAATATACTGTGTGTTACACAGTAAGTAACAATACAGTGGAGAAACTTAATATTAAACAATTAGGCCAAGCCTAATTGTATAACTAGCACTTCAAATGAATTGCTGTTTTATGTAATAGTTTGGATAAAAAGTCAAACGTTCTCAACGTTTGTAATATTGACATCCTAAAGGGCAATGAATTTTCACCTTCCCCGTTTGCTCTTCAATACTTAAAAACTTTCCAAATGTTGTCCATAATTTTTAATAAAATTACATAAGGATGACAACACTGAAATCATGGTTTAGGGAGGGAGGGAGGGAGGAATGAAGGAAAACAGAGTTGGAAGGGACCTTCGAGATCTTCTAGCCCACCCCCCTGCTCAAGTAGGAGACCCTAGGCCATCTCAGAAAAATGAATTGTCCAATCTCTTCTTTAAAAACCTCCAGTGATGGAGCACCCACAACTTCTAGAGCAGTGTTTCTCAACCTTGACCATTTTAAGGCATGTGGACTTCAACTCCCAGAATTCAACAGCCAGCAATGCTGGCTGTGGAATTCTGGGAGTTGAAGTCCACATGCCTTAAAATGGTCAAGGTTGAGAAACATTGTTCTAGAGGCAGGTTGTTCCACTGGTTAATTGTCCTCACAGGGAGGAAGGAAGGAAGGAAGGGCAAAGCTGCACGCCTTCCGTCGGGAAGGGGCTTCCCGTGTAAGCAAATGCTGCAAACAAACGACCGCCCGGAGGAAGCGAAAAACGCGCCCCGACCTGCTCCGCTCTCCCTCCCAGCGGCCGCCTTCCGAGCAGAGACGCGAACGGGCGATGCTTCCCCGCAAAAACGGCGCCTGCGCCTTTAAGACGAGCCTCTTCCTTTCAACCAATCAGCAAGCCCCGCGCCGGAGCCTCCCCATACCAAAAAGCAAAGCCGCTCGCCGCGGGTGCTTTCGGGACTGATAGTCTTCGGGAAGGGCTTACCCGATAGAGGATGGAGTGCGGGCGGGAGGGTCGCGGACTTCGACGCCCAGAAGGCCACGCGGCCGCCCGTGCCTCAGCTGGGGGCTAGCGGACTGGCGGAGCCGCTTGCCATGGCTTGGAGGGGCTGTTTGAGGTTGGGGCTCCGGCTGCGGGGCGCTGCGCCGAGGCCCGCCTGGGGGCGCAGGGGGGTCGCCTCCTGCATCGACCGTAAGGCTCCAGGGGGGAAAGATGGGGTGGAGGGGGGGAGGGGGTGGGGAGGGCAGAAAGGAGCCCCTCTCGACCTTCCTTGCCTTTGAAAAAACACTGCCAACTTTGGCTTGCCTGGCGCTGCGGACGGAAATCCAACAGGTCGTGCTTGCAACTGGCTGGGAGTGCCCCGCTGCAGCCTTTTCCCGAACCCAGAGCCCCTGCGTTCCCCCCCCCGCGGTTGAGTTGGACTACAGTTCCCATCATCCGTAGACTGCCCTGGTGGCGTTGGTAGCCCCAACGTTGGAGGGGGTCAGGTTGGGGAAGGGTGGTTGGGCTGTGGGAGGGAGGCTCCGAAGCTTGGCAGCTGTTAGCCCAGGGATGGGGGGCAACCTTGGTGGGAAAGAGCCCTTGTGGCTCTTTCAGGCGCTTCTGCCTGCTTGAAACCTATGGGGAAAGGTAGCCAGGAGGGGGTGGTCAAGCCATTCTTGGGACGGATAAGGCTTCACCTGTGGAATTTCGGCTGAAAGTGGGAAAGTTAACTCTGATGTCCTCCTTCTTCCAGAGGGACCTCCAGATCTGGTCCCCAAGGCAAGGTTTTATTGTAAAGGATAGAGAGCTGGGTTTGGGGAAGGTTGGGGTGAAATGTTAATGCACAAAATATTACTTTTTTAAAAAGGAAGAAGTGTGAGAAAAAAGCTCAAAATAACTCCCCTTTGGGAAAGGAAGGAAGGCAGGCAGGCAGGCAGGAAGGAAGGAAGGAAAGAAGGAAGGAAGGAAGGAAGGAAGGAAGGAAAAGAAGAAGGGAGGGAGGAAGGAAGGAAGGAAGGAAGGAAGGAAGGAAGGAAGGAAGGAAGGAAGGAAGGAAAAAAAGAAGGAAGGAAAAAAAGAAGGAAGGAGGAAGGGAGGGAGGGAGGGAAGAAAGGGAGGGAGTGATGAGAGTGAAGGAACAAAAAGGAGTTTGGGGTTGTCTATGGAGATTCCCAATCATCCAAGTCATGGTTGTCCCAAAAGTGCTTTTTTCCCAAAAGGCAACTGGACTTTCTTGGTGTTTTCTTTGAAAACATTTTGCTTCTCAGCCAAGAGGTTTCCTCAATTCTCAGATTCTTGGGGTTTCTCTTCTCCCCCATCCCCTATTTTCCTTCCCGCTTTCCACTTTTGTGAACTGATTCTCTCCGGGCCTCCCCAGCTGCCATGGGTCTGACGGAAGAACAGCAAGAGTTTCAAAAAGTGGCTTTTGACTTTGCTGCCAAGGAGATGGCCCCACACATGGCTGAGTGGGACGAACAGGTGAGAGGCCTGATTTCAGACTCCTTAGAAAAAGCTGAGGATTGCACAATTGAGTCCCTGCCACCTCTGCCAAGGTTGACTGTTAACCAAGCAGAAATTCTTTTCTTGAGCTAGTTTGTTAAAAAAGGAACACTTTGCTTTTTAGGAACACGGGTTAGCAGCAGTGAGAACTGAAAAATAGATCATAAATAAATCTTGGAGAATTACTGCTTGTCTTGAACAGCCCTTAGTCTACCTGGCCTCTTCTGGGTCTGCTGACACTACCCATGGCTTGCCTGGAATAAGTCAAGGAAAAATATCCTATAGGTTGTAAGGACACAAACAACTGTGTTACTTTCTTGGTAAAAAAGATGCATGCTGATTTTTGGTGCCTTGGGGGATGTTTTTGATGGGCCACCGTATTCTACAGTTTGGGGATTTCTTAATGGTCTCCTTTCCAAGCACAAACCAGGTCCACCCATGCTAAAAAAAATTCAAGATCAGTCGAGGTCAACCAGATTGCAATAGGTGTTGCAAATCTAGTTAAACAAGGCTGACGTAAGTAATAGTGAGCTCAGTCAATACATTTTCTTACTCGGTGGAAGACAACTTCCTTTAGGCTAATGCAATGTTTCTCAACCTCGGCCACTTTAAGATGGGCGGACTTCAACTCCCAGAATTCCCCCGCTGGCTGGGGAATTCTGGGAGTTGAAGTGTATCCAGCTTAAAGTGGCCCCAAAAACTGGGCTAATGCAGCACTAAGAATCTGAAAAAAGTGGAAAGGGAGAAAATGTTTTATGCTCTAAATATTGCTCTTTTTGTACATCTCTGCAATCCCAGAAATCTTCTGTTTTTATAGAGGCTTTCCTTCCATGGGATGAAAGTGGCTAGGAAATTGTTCCAATTCACAATTTCAATTCAAATATTTATTCCGTGATGCTTTTGGGAAGCACACATCAGGTTGCAAAAGCACTGGAAACGAGCTGAGAAAGTTCTTTCAGTGGACACGATCCCATTCCCCTCTCGTCTTCGGCGTTGACAGGAAATATTCCCAGTGGAAACACTCCGGAAAGCGGCTCAGCTGGGCTTTGGGGGCATCTACGTGAAGCCAGATGTGGGGGGCTCCGGACTCTCTCGACTTGACACCTCCATCATCTTTGAGGCTCTGTCGACCGGCTGCGTCAGCACCACGGCTTACCTCAGCATCCACAAGTGAGTTTGTGCTGTGGCTTCAGTCTCCACACTGGGGCCTTCTGGGTGGGTCCAGCAGCCTGGAGGTTTGTCCAGTTGAAGGTTGAGGGCGGGGGTGTCTACATTTATAATCTCTTTTTATTTTATTTATGTATTAGATTTTTTAGACTGCCTTTATGACTTTATAAATTATTCCCAGGCAGTGAATTTATCTTATACTCCTTTCTTTTCCTATTTCCCTCACTACAACTACCCTGGACTGAGAGAAAGGGACTGGCCCAAAGTCACCCAGTCCTGCCACGCCTAAGGCAGGACTAGAATTCACAGTCTCCTGGTGATTGGCCCAAAGTCACCCAGTCGGCTTTCATGCCTAAGGCAGCACTAGAACTCACAGTCTCCTGGTGATTGGCCCAATGTCACCCAGTCGGCTTTCATGCCTAAGGCAGGACTAGAACTCACAGTCTCCTGGTGATTGGCCCAAAGTCACCCAATCGGCTTTCATGCCTAAGGCAGCAGTAGAACTCACAGGCTCCTGGCTTGGTTTCTCTCCCTCTGCCGCAGCATGTGTGCTTGGATGATCGACACCTTTGGGAACGAGGAACAGCGGCTGAAATTCTGCCCTTCGCTTTGCAGCATGGAAAAATTAGCCTCCTATTGCTTGACAGAGCCGGGTGAGATAACGGTGTCCTTTCCTGGCCCTTGGAAAATCCGTGTGGCCAGTGTTGGCAATGCTCTGGAGGTACACCAGGATTTTTAGGGCTCATTTATAAAGATCTGGGTTCGACTCTAAGGATTATCCCTCTACTTTTAGATGGAGGGTGATGGTGGTGGAACTGAGGATAAGAGAGAATCTCTTGGGGAGGGAGAGCTTTGAATTGATGGGCGATGAGAGAGAAAAGGGGAATCAGAGCAGGACTTGCCTGATGCCCATATTCTGAATGATCCCTTCCTCACTAGGAAGCGGAAGTGATGCGGCTTCTTTGCTAACCTCGGCCAAGAAACGCGGCGACGTGTATATTCTCAACGGCTCCAAGGTACCCCTTTCGCTCTCTGACATGACAGCTGCCAATCTGACGAATTCTGGAAGTCTCTTTTCCAGCTAACCCATCTATTAAAAGGCACCAGCTTTTGTGAACCGCAGCTTATGCTTCTTAATAATACAGGTAGTCCTCGACTTGTTTAGTGGCCATTTGAAGTTCAAAAAGAGTGACCCATGACCCTTTTCCATAATTACGACCATTGCGAAATCCCCATGGTCACTGGATCTACATTCAGACGCTTGCCAGGTGACTCAAATTTACGACCGTTGCAGCGTTCCCCGGATCATGTGATCCCCTTTTGCGATTTTCCGACAAGCAAAGCCAATGGGGGGGAGCCAGGTTTGCTTAACAATGGTGTTGCTAATGTAACGTAGCCACTGTGGTGAGAAAGGTTGTAAAATGGGGCAAATTTCCCTTAACAGCTGTCTCGCTTAGCAACGTAAATTTTGGGCTCAGTTGTGGTCGTACATTGAGGACTTCCTGTATAATCAATAAAATTAACATTAAGAGCAGAATAGAATAGAATAGAATAGAATAGAATATAGAATAGAATAGAATAGAATTTAGAATAGAATTTAGAATAGAATTTAGAATATAGAATAGAATAGAATAGAATAGAATAGAATAGAATAGAATAGAATAGAATAGAATAGAATAGAATAGAATAGAATAGAATAATGGTAGAATTTAATAATATAATAGAATAGAATAGAATAGAATAGAATAGAATAGAATAGAATAGAATAGAGCTGGAAGGGACCTTGGAGGTCTTCTAGTCCAGCCCCCTGCTCAAGCAGGAGAACCTATACCATCTCAGACAGGTGAATGTCTAGTCTCTTCCTAAAAATCTCCAGTGATGGAGTGCCCACGATTTCTGGAGGCAAGCTGTTCCACTGGTTGATTGCCTTCACTGTCATGAATGTTTGGGTTAGCTGGAAAAAGATACTACTGGATCCTTTCTGAGGTTTCTCCACCAGAGAAACCCACACAGTAACACACCTCTTACAACTTCTGCTTGTCTTCTCCCAGGCTTTCATCAGCGGTGGTGGCGATGCTGACCTCTACGTGGTGATGTGCCGCACGGGAGGGGCAGGTCCCAAGGGCATCTCCTGCCTGGTGCTGGAGAAAGGAGCTCCCGGCTTGACGTTTGGCCAAAAGGAGAAGAAAGTAAGAGCCGGTGGGCTCTCGCATCTCCTGGCTTGGGTGGGGCCACCTGGAGCATCAATCAAAAGGGGTTTGTTTTCCTGCAGGTGGGTTGGAATTCACAACCGACGCGGGCAGTCATCTTTGAAGACTGCGCTGTTCCGGTGTCCAACCGGCTAGGAGAGGAAGGCCAGGGGTTCAACATTGCCATGCAGGGCCTCAACGGAGGGAGAATTAATATCGGTAAGAAAGATATGATGGGGTACCAACCAGAGTCGGATGGAATCTGTGGCTCAGAGGCTGCGTTTGGTTTCTTCGCCAGCGTCCTGTTCCTTGGGGGCTGCCCACGCTTCGGTTCTCCTGGCTCGAGAGCATCTTAATGTCCGCAAACAGTTTGGGGAGCTCTTGGCCACCAATCAGGTGCGTTGCTGTGGGATCCTAGGGGGACTCTGGGAGTTGAAGTCCACAAGTTGTAAAGTGGGACACGTCTGATTTATAGCATCCAGCATCCGCTGCATTTTCAGCAAAGCTTCTGAAAATCCTGAGATATCCGGAGCACTCCACCTGGAAATGCACCCATCTCTCCAGCAAAGAGGATCAAAGTAATCCCCGAGTTTTACTTCTGCAAAATGGGTGCTTTTTACTTAGTTATTCCAAACATGACAGCCACGTTGTGATAGTAGCCCTTAGCCGTTTCCCAACATTTTATTTTCCCCGTCAAGCCTAAAAGATCAGGGAGACTGCGCCTAGCCTTAGGATGTAGTTTGTGCTGGCCATCAGCTGGAATACACCGTTCCTGGCTTAGGGGAATGGATGAGCCCAGCCAGCTCAACAAACTGTCATTTAACCATGGTTTAATGGGATGAGTGAGTATTTACCTGCTTCCTGTGTCTCCTTGTCAAGTATCTCCAGTTCCAGCTGGCTCAGATGGCAACCCGGTTAGTGGCTGCCCGTCTGATGGTGCGCAACGCCGCCCAAGCTCTGCAGAAACAGCGGCACGATGCGGTAGCTTTGTGTTCCATGGCCAAGCTCTTTGCCACCGATGAGTGCTTTGCAGTAAGTAAAATCCCTTTGTGTGTGTGTGTGTGTAATCTCCCTCTCTGTCCCTGAAATAAAACCTACATGTTGGACTGCAAGGTTCTCCATCAAGGATGATCATCTGAGGTTCTTCCTGTTCGAAAGAGCCCAGGGTGTCCATTGAAAAAGAAATGCAATGTGTCCCCTAAAAGTCACTGGCATTTGTTATTAATTGTATTAATATTTAATTGTTATTAATCGTGAGTAGTTAATTAATGGAATAGCTTCTTCTTCTTCTTGTGCCATATCCGTTATCGGACATTGGCGATCCTGTTTTTATCGGCAGCCGCACAAAAAAGTCCTGCTGAGTTTTGCCCAAACCAGTCCCTTAGATTTTGAAGCCACGATGTTCTTCTTCTGCCTGGACCTCGTTTGCCTTCAATCTTTCCCTGGAGGATTAAATGGAGTATGCCGTATTTTTCTGGGCGTCGCATCACATGTCCAAAATATTCTAATTTTCGTTTTTTAATTGTTTTGATGATTTCCCTTGGCTTTCCCAGGCGGCTGATCACCTCCTCATTTCTGATCTTGTCAACCCAGCTTATACGTAACAGCCGTAATGGAATAGCTTGCCCCTTGGAATTGTGGATACTCCATCACTATAGGTTTTCAAAAATAGAGGGACAACCGTTTGACCAACCGTATGATTCTGTGTCAGGGGTCTGCAACCTTGACAACTTTAAGACTTGTGGACTTCAGCTCCCAGAATTCCTCAGCCAGCAGAGCTGGCTGAGGAATTCTAGGAGCTGAAGTCCACAAGTCTTAAAAGTTGTCAAGGTTGCAGACCTGTTCTATATTATCTACAAATTCCTCCATTTAGTCACTAGAGGGCAACCTTGTATTTTCATTGAGAAATGTACACACTCCAGAGTGTGAATGCTGCAGCAGCCTGGACATTGTAAACTACAACTCCCAGAGTTCCTGAAAATTGTCCATCCAGAATCGGATTCGGGAACAGCCATCCGATCCCCATTTCTGCACACACACACACACACAAAAAAAATCTGAAAAAAGATTCCCTTGTCATACATATATACCACATCGAACTGTTGACCTCCAAGGTCCCTTCCAACTTTATTATTATTATTATTATTATTATTATTATTATTATTATTATTATTATTATTATTATTAAGTTTCAGAGGTTACCGCTAGGCTTTGACTTGTGACAATTTGTTTAGCCACCATTGGAAATTGCAACACTACTGAAAAAGGTGGTTTGCGACCAGTTCTTACACTTACAACAATTGCGGCATCTTCACAGTTACAGGAAACCAAATTTTGGTGCCTTGGCACTCATGTGTGCAGCATCCCGGAATCCTGTGGTCCTCATTTGCTAACTTCACAGCTGTCTCTGACAAGCAAAGTCACTGGGGAAAGCCGGATTCGCTTAAGGACTTCGTAATTCACTTAACAACCTCAGTGGTTGACTTTACTGTGGCCAAAAAAAGGTCATAAAATTGGGTGCTGCACACTTGCATTCAATGGGAATTCTAGTCCCAGGTGTGGTTGTTAAGCCGAGGACCACCTGTACATTCTCACAGCTTCCTTGTCAGTTCTGACCGTGTCCACATGCTTTCCCCCCTTAAGTTTCTAGACCCTGGTGTGCCTCTTCTTGGGAAAGCCAGGATTCTCTGGCGCTTGAGTTTTCACTGGGTTTCTCCTCTTCCTTGTAGATCTGCAATCAAGCTCTGCAGATGCACGGCGGATACGGCTACTTGAAGGATTACGCTGTGCAACAGTTTATGCGGGACATCAGGGTCCACCAGATTTTGGAAGGTAGGTTGTCGGGCATTTCCTGGGAGTTTGGCCCCGGCTACTGACACACGCAGTTGCTGTGAGTTGGATTGACATAAACACAGCCACTCTTGCTGTCTGGATCTCCCTGATGTACGCCGAGTCCAGTTAAATGCAACCTGAGTCGTATATTGGACTCTGTGGCTGCTCTCCATTCCCGATCAAGTCCTTGGCACATCAGTTGTTTTTTGTGACTTGAGAAAACACACTTTAAAACTGCTGCTGCTAGTTACACACACACACAAACACAGGAGTGTACAGCAGGGGTCTTCAAACTTGGCCCTTTCATGACTTGTGGACTTCAACTCCCAGAATTCCTCAACCAGTTTGTCTGGCTGAGGAATTCTGGGAGTTGAAGTCCACAAGTCATAAAAGGGCCAAGTTTGAAGACCCCTGCTGTACAGAGTAGCAAAAGCCAGGCCGACAGAACAAAAGAGTAAACACAGAGAACAAAAGAGTAAAAATAGTAAATTCCTAAGTATAGTAAATTTTGAAATGCAATAACATTTTTTCTGATGTTTGCCAATTCTCACTTAACAATCTCACCTTATGTGAGAGTTCGTGAACATCAGAGAAAATGTTATTGCATTCAGGAATTTACTGTACTTAAAAATGTGCTATTTTTGTTTTGTGCACCTGTACTTAGGAATTTCCTTTCGGTCAAGCAAGGAACAGCTTAGAAGAAAATGTGAATATTTAATATAATTTATGTACTAAATTGGATTACCGGGTAGTCCTTTTAGCAACTGGTCAAAGTTGCCCCTGATCACCTCCCCCCCCCCCGGAAAAGAGATTTATGAATATGTTTGGAAGTTCCAACATTGCTCCCTCCCCCTCCGTGAACCACAATTGGGTGCTTGGCAACTGTCACGCATTGACAGCCATTTGCAGCATCTCACCGTCCCATGACCTTGATTTATGACATTTTTGCTACAACAATGGCTTGGTTTCACCACAACTGTAAAAAGGGATTGTAAAAGCAGGTCCGGTCACATGGTGACCCGCTTTACAACCTACGGCCATAATTTTCAGTCTCAAATACGGTCGTAAGGCGAGGACTGCCTGTCATGACCCTCTTCTACCGGTCTACTATTGAAAGCGTTCTCACATACTGTATTGTGGTTTGGTATGCTGGCTTGACAGCCGCGGACAGGAAGGTATTACAGAGGGTGGTGAGCACGGCACAAAACATCGTGGGCTGTTCCCTGACACCACTGGATGACATCGCCAGGGCCCGTTACCTTGGCAGAGTGAGGAAAATTCTCAGGGATGACTCTCACACCCTGGTCGGTACCTCTTTACTCTCCTACCATCGAGTAGGAGATACAGAAACATAGCCAGCCGTACCAACAAGCTGAAGAACAGCTTTTATCCATGGGATGTCAGGCTCTTGAATGGGACATAATAATGTTATGCATGACAGACCCGTGAGGCCGGCGTGCTGTGCAATTAGCTCACAGGGTGGAATAAGTTGGGGGTTTGTAGTCACTGTGAGTTGTGGGGGGGGGGGGCACGGAAGGAGGCTCAGCCAATCTCACTGTATACATGTTATACTTTGATAATAAAGGTTCATTCATTCATTCATTCATTCATTCATTCATTCATTCATTCATTCATTCATTCAAGAGCCGGCAAGTAGGCAAGCTCAGTTTCACAGGATGCTAAGTTGGGATTCCCTTCCTTTGGTATCTCTTCTGCACTGCCATTCTGCAGTCTGCTAACCAACACATCTCCGTTTTCATCTCTGTGGTCTGTAGGAACCAATGAAATCATGAAGATGATCATAGCCAGGACTCTGTTACAGGCGTGAGCGTCCCGAACTGGTCATCGGCCTCAGCATGATAGCAGCTGCTTTGGGGACACCCGGCTGGGAAGAGGAGAAGGCGATGTGTTTTTCTCAGCTGTCTCCCTGGCCTAAACCCCAGATTTTGTGACGGGCACAGCCTGGCAGAGCCGGGGAAGCATGACCAGGGGCAGGATGGGTCTCAATAGAGCCTTTTGTCCACAAAGTGCCAGTGCTGACCATCTGCTTCTCAGCGGCCAGTTGAAATTCTCCACGTGGGAGTTCTGCATCAGCCTTCATCCTGCATCTCCTGGGAAGAATCGGATCCCTTCTGGATTTAGCTTAAGCTGCAGAATCTGCTTATTTTCTTCTTAAAAACATACTTCTCTGCAGAAAAGGGAGTTGTTTCCCAAAGGAGATAAAAAAAAAATCATTTTTTTTCAGTCTTTAACTCGGAGAGATAATCTTGCCACGCTCTTGGTGAGTCGATGGTAGGAACCTGATTTTTCTACTTTTTTGCCTACTAGATGGCCACGGAAAAGCCAACAATGACGTGCTTCCCTAAAAGCCCCCAGCCCAAACGAACTTGTTTGTTTATTCGCATCCGAAGCATCACAATGAAAATAAGGCGCACTACACCACCTGCAATTTAAAATGTAAAATTACAAGATTTTTTTTAAACTCTGTACAAGTTAAAACGAATCTTGCCTAGAATGAACTCAAAAAACCCCCACTGATTATTTCCTTACGAATGTTGGAATCAATAAACGTCTCGTGATTTCTGTCTTTCGCATCTGCTCCATTTTTGGCTTGTTTGGGGAGAAGATTTATCCCATCCCACCTTCTTGATGCTCCTGAAAGAGAGCTGGCTTCTGAATCCCATCAATGAATTCCTTTTGACTTTTTTGACCTCACCACCGGTGGACACTCCGAGAAGGAGGGGGATGGATGACTTTAGGAAGCGACTTTGAAAGCACGTGGGTCTGCCAGGATGGAAGGGACGTCCCCAGGATGGCTCCCCAATTAAAAAACGAAAAACAAAAACCGAGACGCAGGGATTTGCAGAGGGGAAAGTTCCATCTTTGACCCAGATGAGTCAGTGGGCATCCAGGGTCAATATAGCCACCTTTCGGGGGGGGTGATTCCATAGATGGGTACATCCCAAACAGAGAGAGAGAGAGAATGAGAGAGAAAGAATGTGTGCGTGAGAGAGAGAATGTATGTGTGTGAGAGAGAGAATGAGAGAGAGAGAGAGAGAGAATGAGAATGCTCCCTGGGGAAAATAAATCAATGGAGGTAGTCCTCGACTTACGAGCCCAAAATTTCTGTTGTTGCTGAGAGAGACCTTTGTTAAGTGGGTTTTGCCCCATTTTACAACCTTTCTTGCCACTGTTGTTAAGTGAATCACTACAGTTCAGTTAGTAACACAGCTGTTAAGTGAATCTGGCTTCCCCTTGACTTTGCTTGTCAGGACTCAAAGGGGGAATCACATGACCCAGGGCACTGCAACCGTCATAAATATGAGTCAGTTGCCAAGCCTCCGGATTTTGATCACATGACCCTGGGGAGGCTGCAAAGGTGTGAAAAAGGGTCTTAAGTCCCTTTTTTCAGTGGCGTTGTAACTCTGAACAGTCCCTAAGTAAACTGTTGTAAGTTGACTGCCTGGACTGTACAAAAAATCTTTTTTTGTGTGTATACCGTAGGTATACCGTATGCACAGTATGTATGTATAATTGGGTTTTTTCATATGAATAATTGCTTTTTTAAGGAATATAAACACTGTCACAAACTAAAATCAATACAAAGTAAAAAGAGGAGGAAATGAAACCAACGAAAAGGGCAAGAAGGAAGTAAATGACAAGGTAAAAAAGATGATTTATGCGCCTGATGACTGGATCGGAAGGATTAGAGATCTGATGATACGATTAGGGAGATGCGATGCAATCGGCATTACGGTTATAACCGTAACCGCCGTCATGAAAATGTGGAGCCAATTCTTGGAATTCCCCCCCCCTCCTTTTCCATTCCTTTCACGTCTTCGGGATCAGCCGCAGAACCATCTGCAGCTCCAACACGTGTCTGGGCAGGACACGCTTCTCCGGGTCCGCGTTGGCTGCGTTCACACGTTAGCCTTCCTATGGTTTCAACTCCCTTAGTTTTTCTTGGGGGGGGAATCATTGCGTGTGAATGCAGGCGACGGGCTTACGAGTCGGGGTCAAGGGAGGGCTGCGCAAACCAGGGAAGTGTTTTTTCAGATTCCGAGCCAGACCGAGCCAGCTTTGAAGGAAGGGCAGCCTCCAACCCGCAGGGACGCCCCTTCGGGGACTTTCAGCGCCGCGCAAGAGAGCTCCTGAGCATGTGAGGAGCGCTTCGCCGGGCCACAGGTGAG